ATATACACACACACACATATATATATATATATATATATATATATATATATATATATATATACATATTTTTCACAAATAAATTATTAAGGTTTCTTTCAAAAAAAATTATTTAAGATTTCTTACATTTTCTTTTTGATCTTTCTTTTTTTATCTTTTTTGCTACATTGAGTCATTAGACTTCAACAATGAACTGAACATGAATGCTGTCAAAATAAAGAAGCGTTTGTGTTCGTCTTGTCTTAGAATGATCAGAGCTCTGTGGACAAACAAAAGCGCATAATGAGGAATGTAAATGAAAATGACCCCCAGGAAAGTGATGAAAAGTCGACCACATGCATCTTGGAATGTGTGGGACAATCAAAGCTGACAGGGAGAAAATGAGGGTGTCTCCAGTAAATACACAATCCCAGTGTGCATCTCTCTTTTGTCTCGTCCTGGGCATTGAGAGACTGAGAGCACTGGCGCTTTCATAAACGACCCTAACAATTTTTTTGTTCTGATTACACTGAGACTGAAAAACAAGCTAAATCCAATCCAACATAACTTTTTCTCCTCAATCCCTTTCTCTTTCTCTCTTTTCATCTTGCCTGTCGTACTGTGGGGCTGTTTGTGACAGCTCTGTCTGTGTAGTCTTCGGTTTAGCCGATCCTTGTGGACACCTAACTCAATATCACTAAAGTTTCTTTCTTCCTCAAATGTGCTGCCAGTAGACTTTTCCCTGAAACAGACTTTTTAGTTCAAAGAAAGTGGAAATTGATTGCTGTTTGGCCCCTGTTTTGTCTTTGTTGCCATCCTGCAAGGACTGTTTCGGGCTTCAAGATTATTCATTGTGTGTGATTGAAAGCCGCCTGTCAATAGCTGACCTGCTCAACACTTACAGAAAGAAAGAGAGACACAAGCTTTACCTGTGGGGTTAAAATGGCCTTTTCAACATTGTTCTCCAGACGTAATGCTCTTCAATATATCTATTACTTTTTGTTCCTACATCTGCTTTTAACTGCTTTAGCCTTGTGTGTGTGTGTGTGTGTGTGTGTGCCACTTTTCATGATTAGGAAACAAGTAAACATATCTAAAAATGTCTTTATGAGTAAAGGTACTGGCCTTTAAGATAAAAACTAGACTATCTACTGCATGCTATGCTGGATGCTGGAATAATAAGATGCTGAAAATAGTTATAAATCAGTTACCTAGTATTTTGAGCTCTGCGCTGGAGTAGATGGCTCCATACTTGTTCTCTGCGATGCACTGATACATTCCCGAATCAGCCTGCTGTAGTCTGTGAATGATAAGCTCCCCATTCATCATTTCCACTCTGCTCTGTGGGGAGACGACAGTTGCTTTAGAACCACGTGTTCACCTGTCAGGCTGCTCCTCAAAGCATATTTAATGTCAATTACACATCATCTGCCAGAGTGACTCCAGCATGAGCCCTTTATATGTCACAAGTGATATGTCATTATACTACCACTCAGTGATGTATTTTGCATTAAACAACAGTTAGTTTTGGTTTTCGAATCTGATTGTTCAAACTGCTTTCTAATAGTGCTGATTGAGTGATTTTTAGAGGACCATTTTTTTTAAATGTTGGACCGCCTACCTATGTAATGCAAGAGTGTATGTAAATAGGTTCAATGGTACCACAAGCTTACACTGTGATGGCCAAGCATTTGTGAGTTGCTTGCTTGCAAAAGGTATGTTTCTGGCCTTAAACAAAAGTCTCCATTTGAGAAACAATTGAAATATTAAACAGATCTCAGAGATTTCTTTTTCCTATAAGTGAGCTGTGTGTGTGTGTGTGTGTGTGTACCTGTGAGTTGAGAGGTTCTCCGTTGCGCAGCCAGCGATATGTGGGCCTGGGTTTTCCTGTGGCTCGACACTCCCAATGGAGCTGCTCTCCGCTGTCCAGTTGAGTGTCATTTATCATGCTAATCCACTGCGGCAGAGCTGTGCCAGGAACACAGAGGAGACAAGGAACATATGCAAGATCAGGGCTTAACTGCAAGGATTTTTTCCCCTTCAGATTTGTACTTGTCGTGGTGAAATTTGCAAAAAATTAAATAAAAAATAATAATAATAAAATAAAAATAAATAAATAAAATAAATAACTGCATTTTTTGCAATAAAAATTTAAACACTTATTTCACAATAAATAAATAAACAACCACACTGAAAATAAAAAAAATAAACTAGGATTTACAATTTTCACTAAGAAATGAATTTACCTTAATTTGTGCAAATTACATTACATTGCTACTTCTGGCATGGACAAAATAGACAGTTAGCTAGGCTGGCAGCAGTGTTAATTAACAATATTTTTTTATTTATTTATTTTCCCCCCACAGATAAAAACGAGATGCTAACTATACAAAATTTTACAACTATACAAAAATGGTTAGGAATGATTTTGGAAGAGATCCAGCATCAGAGCATCAGAGTACTGTGTAGAGTTCTTTTTTGCACCTTTTTGTGTTTGAATGGACAAACACACACATAATTATGTCAGAATGTTTGTTTTGGTGAGTATTCACTATTCAGTATTGGATGAGCATTAGTATATTGGATCGGTTAATTGATGCACAATAAACCTATTAGATTTTTGTCAACTAGATAAATCGCGCCATTTTCATGGCATTGTACCCGCTATCTCTTCTGCACACCATTCTCATTGAAAATTCACTTTTTCTGAGCATCCCCCTGTACCTGTTTTCCATTTTAAACACTTTGCCTATGAAAAACATCTCTTCACCTGATAGAAACCAATACAGATAATCACAATATAAAATGCTCCCCAGCTGATAAAATATAATGATCGATAAAAAACTTTGACTATAAACTCTGACTGTAAAACTTTGTTAACATGAAGTGCAGCTGCAGTTTGTAGGTAGCGTGTGTCACATTGTCCTTTTGCAGAATGAATATGTATGAGAAGATCAGTGGGGAGTGTTTTCATTAAGAATGATGAGCAGAAAAGTTCTGAAAGCAGTAGACCTTTAGTACCCAGCATGCACAGGAGAGTCTTTGAATTAAATTAACAGTCAAATGTTTAGAGGCTTGTTAAGGAGACACATAGTATTAATCTTTAAAGCAATCAGACTTAAAAATTTGGTAACACTTTAGTATAGGGACCAATTCTCACTATTAACTAGTTGCTTATTAGCATGCATTTTACTAGCATTTTAGCTATTACATAGCATTTTACTAGCATATTAGAATTTATAAAGCACACATTCTGCATGACCATAATCTACATCCTTAAGGCCATTGCACACTGAGTACGAAATTTTTGCATGTTGAAAAATAAATACGACCTCACGTTGTGCCAATTATGTTTACACACTACCTACAAAACTTTCGTCCGTCATTAAAAAATTCGGATCAGGTTCGATTTTTTGCGTTTTCACATCCGTAGAATGCAGTTTGATAGGAAAGGATGATGAATATGAAAACAAAAAAAAACTGAAAAATGCATGTGAAAATTTCGGACTTAGTGTGCAAGGACCTTTAATCCTACCCAACGCCTAAACTTAACAACTACATTTCTTACTATTAATAAGCAGTAATTAGGAGATTTGTATCACTGAATCATTCATTCAATTGATTCATTCGAACAGCTGATTCATTCAGGAATGAATCAAGTGACTGTCTTTATGAAAGGGTAATCATGAATCACTGACTCACCAGATCCGTTTAAAAATGCCCGTTCATTCATAAACGAGACACCGCTGTGTTTGAATGGAGATGCGCAGCGGCTCCGCTGTGTCTTAGTATTTTCGACGACGAAATAGAGCAAAATCAGACAATAGTGTTATAGTCAGACAATGTAAGTCACTTAATATTAACTTCTTGTTTATTGAATTGTATTGTATTAAATCGGTATCACATTTACAAACTCCCTTAAAAATCATTAAAAGCTGTCACTCATCTTAGTTCATCTCGATCTCACATTTATAATCAACAAAGCTATCTACATTGCGCAATGAATCTCTTATTTGCACCGTCGACACTTTGCTTATGAAAGAATTTGTGAGATATGTCGGTGATACATTACTCAATGCTGCAAAAACACATATAAACCTTTGAAGCTCCCCTGAGCGCAATCACAAGTATGATATGAAGTCGCACTGGTGCTCCTAAAAAAACATTTCATAGTCGCACACAGTAGTTTTCAGTCGCAAATGCGACTTAAATGGTCGCACTGTAGAGCCCTGAGATCTGAGTAAAGTAAAAATAGTATTCTCTTGTGAGTACTTTGTGAGTAATTTTGTGGCTTTGTGACTGGGACATGGAGGTTAAAAATCAAGTTTACTCTCCAACTCAAAATATCAAACATGCTTGATATTCTCTGACTGGATGAAATCATAGTCTGAAGTTAAAAAAAGTCATACACTATGTGATTTTCTGTGTAATCTGTCAATTCCAACTGCCCAAAATCTGTAGATTAGCGCTGACTTTTGGAAACAAGTGTTGACACCACCAGCCTGTAAATTGGGGCACAAATCTGAGCTAAAGTTATGCCTTGTGTTTCAGCCTTAATAGCTCATTCATGAAACAACAACAACACATATAACTGATAACTGATGATAATAGTATGTTTACTGTATGCGTGTCATCTACTGCTTTGGATACTCAAGCTCTTTAAAGTCGGGTGGATTCTAAATGGTTCTTAATGCTTTTATTCTTCATCAGCTGCAAACAATCATTCTGAAATTGCTTACAATAATATTGTTCCTCTGTGTCATTATCATTTTAGCTGTGGTGTGGATTTTGCTATTCTCAAAGAATAAGAACAATTGCTAAAACTTTACAGTTATCCTTATAGTTATTGTTCCTTGTCTCCACTGTTAAAAGGACATACTATCACAACAAAATTAACAATTAGTCTAACTCTCACATGCTCTTTAAAACATTTCCCTCCCTCCTTTGTCCTCCTCCTCCCCCTCCTTCATCAACTCTAACAGCTGATGACTTTGCCACGTTCTTCATTAATAAAGTAAAAACCATCAGTGCACAATTTTCCACACCACAATCTGTCAAGCACATCTTACCAGCAAACATACACTCCTTCACATCCTTGTCTTCACTCTCTGAGGCAGAAGTCTCCAAACTCATCCTTTCTAATCATCCTACTACTTGTCCGCTTGATCCTATTCCATCTCATCTCCTTCAAGTCATTTCTCCTGCAGTTGTAGCTGCACTCACTCACATCATTAACACATCCCTTCACACTGGTGTTTTCCCCTCAGCATTTAGGCAGGCTCATATAACCCCACTACTTAAGAAACCCACCCTTAACCCACCTCTTTTAGAGAACTACAGACTGGTTTCCCTTCTTCCTTTCATTGCAAAAACACTTGAACGAGCTGTGTTCAACCAAGTCTTTGCCTTTCTCACACAGAAAAACCTCCTCGACAGCAACCAGTCTGGTTTCAGAAGTGGACATTCAACCAAGACTGCCTTGCTCTCAGTTGTTGAAGCCCTAAGACTGGCAAGAGCATATTCCAAATTTTCAATACTTATCTTGTTGGATCTGTCCGCTGCTTTTGACACGGTTAACCATCAGATCCTCAACCCTATTGGCAAAGGGCATCTCAGGACCCACACTTCAGTGGTTTGAGTCTTACCTCTCAGATAGGTCCCACAAGGTATCTTGGAGAGGTGAGGTGTCCAAGTCGCAACATCTAACTACTGGGGTGCCTCAGGGCTCAGTTTATGGACCACTTGTCTTCTCTGTCTACATGGCATCACTAGGTTTTGTCATTCAGAAACATGGCTTTTCATATCACTGCTATGCTGATGACACTCAACTCTACCTCTCATTCGATCCAACAATAGCTGCTCACATCTCTGCTTGTCTAACAGTCATTTCTTGCTGGATAAAGGACCATCACCTTCAACTCAACCTTGCCAAGATTGAACTGATTGTGGTTCCATCAAACCCATTGTTTCATCACAATTCATCACCACGCTGACTTCCACTTTATGAATCACCAAGGACTATGGTTTCTGCTAAAAATCCTCTTTACTATTCTACTGAAGAAAAAAGTCACCTGCTACATCTTTGATGACCTGAGGGTGATGAAATTAAGAATTTTTTTGGGGGTGAACTATCCCTTTAACAGTTCTACTCTACAATATTACTAAATTAATTAAAGAAGAGTGGCAGGACATCACACACATGCACTGAACTAACAGAGTGAGCACAATTAAAGTATATTTGGACATTGTTGTGACGGATAAGACAAACAGCTGTTGTTTTGTCAAGCTTTGTTCAGCCAGACTGTGTGATAAATCATAGATCCCAGTGACAGTCATAAACCTCTTAAAACCAGGTTTTCATAAAATCACTGGGACACTGCATTCATCTTGTGGCCTACTGATACACTTACTTTTATGACATAACACACTTCATCTAAGTCACAAACCCTATCGAACGGATAAAGAGAGAGGAGTCTGCGAAAGATGAATGGAGGTCCCAGATGCCCGTACCAGGCCTCTATCAAAGCTACGGTGGGTCAGGGGAAATATGTGGGTCAAAAAATATAGCATTTTCAGATACGCAAGTAAGAATAATGATAAAATAGCCTCTAAATTTTAATTGGACAAAAGTCTTCTGAGGACAGAGCCATTTTGTCCTTGCAAAACTTTGACAAAAATGTAAGCTGGCCAACTTTGCTTAAATTTATACCTTCTGTCATAAAGGCCAGTCAGAATTATGCCAAAGAGAGTGAGTGTATGCCCAGTGGAATGATTTATGAAGGAACCTAATCAGAAATGGACCCAACGGATCCTGTTCCCACACTACTGCGACACATTACTTCAAAGCCTTTTTTACAAATAGCTCTTACATTTTTACATTTTCTGAAGAAAATGTGAGTAGTGCTCGTCCACCTAAGACTAGGGTGTTCTGGGTGGCTGCAAAAGTATTGCTAAAGGGTTTTGTGATGTGGATGGATGTTATAATAGAGCAGAGGTCTTCAACCCTGCTACTGGAGACCCACTGTACTGTAGCATTTAGCTCCAACCCTAATCAAACCAACCTGAACCAGATAATCAAAGTCTTCAATAATGCATGAAAATCATACATCAGTGTAGTGTGTTGAAGCAAATTGGAAAGAAACATTGTAGAATAGTCTGTCTTTAGGAGCAGGATCGAACCCATCCTGAAGTTTCTATGATAGTCTGGTCCAGGGATCAGTATCTTAGATTTTTAAGGTATGTTTAATTGGGAATACAGCTAAACTCTGTAGGACAGTGGCCTTCTAGAGCTGGAGTTGCCCATACCTGGTTAAATCTCTATATATTGCATCTTCAAAATCTCAAAGAAATAGCACATCTCCCCCAATAAGCCAGATGATTTGAGTCATCATTCAAGTCCGTAAGATAAACTTGCCTTGGCTTTCACCATTATAAATCCCCCACTCGCTCATTTACATTTATTCGTTTAGCAGACGCGTTTTGCCACAACTTACAAATGAGTACAATGAAGTGATTCACACTGCTCATTCTGTTTCTCTTATTACATATAACCTTAAAGAACTTTCCTTTTTAATGATCTGGTTGCACAGTTTTTTAGAAGCAAAGCTGTACTCACTGTAGACCTGGAGGTGTCCTCTGAACGCAGTGCCTCCTCTGGTGTTCTCAGCTTTACACTCATAACTCCCAGAATCCTCTAGCTGGATGTTGGGGATCTCGAGAACAGCTTGTGATTTGCGCAGACGGGCTTTTTTGGGGATGTTCCCACTCATCTTCCTCCAGGTGATAGTGGGGACAGGACTGAGAAAATAAAATATATATAAGAAATACATTTTTAAAGAGGTAATATGTCATTTTTTGATGCTCTAATAGTTTATCTTATCCCAGTTTATCCTAGTTTATTTGAGAATATTAACTAGCGTGACTTTGGCTCAACCAATAATGTGATTTTAGGGTGGGACTATCTGTTTCTCTTTCCAACTGCAGCTGAGGAGAGCGTTCAGAAATCCTTTTTGAAAAGCTGTCATTATTTTTGCAATAGAGCCCTTTTTTCCCCAGAAATATTTGTAGCATTTATTTTCTCCACTAAAAAAAGGAGTCAAACAGTGTCAAAGAATTCTTTGCTTTGATATGAACCACAACATTACAACCTTTCATTTGAAGCAAAAAAAAAAATAATGTCAGAAAATTTTTTACAAGACTGTGCATTTAACATGTTTTATAAGTGAATAAATCCAATGAAGCTAGAGACATACATCAAACAAACCTGTTGTTCATTGATTGTTATAAGTGTAAAAACAATATAATTTAAGCTTTTGTAAAATATTCAAACATACTTTTAGTTGATTGGATTGATTTGCAGTGCTTCATGGGAGTGGGCATCACTGCTGAATACCAATGAATGCCAATAAATTGGCAAGGTTTTAAAGGTAACAGCAACCTCTTTTATTGGTAGAGGAGTTCTTCAGGAGGTAGAGTATTTCCTTACCAGGAATTTGACTTTTACACACAATTTTATTTAAAAAAAAATGTTGAAATCACTGTGACTTGTGGCTTTTACTGAAGCATAAATCATCACCTAACAACATCACGAAACCCAGCTGTTGTGATCCAATCTATCTGGCGAAGCAGTGTGAACAGTATATACTTCATCTAAAAAATAAAAAAAAAAACCTTTCTAAAAGCAATTCCTTTATCTCTGCCCAAAACGTGTATCTGCTAATTTGTAAAGCTGGTACCGTGGTCTTTTTGAAAGTACGAACAGGACTATCTGATATGGCCATCTCTCTGTAAGTGGCTGTGTACTGGGTAACACAATAAATGTCTAGATAGCTGTGTAGATAAGCAGTATTTGTACTCTGCCATCCATCCCTATTTGTGGCTGTGGCGGGCGTGTGATATGACCTCCTAGGTGCGGCATCCGCGCGTAGATAACCCACTCTATCAGACACGATCAGCACTGCTACATAGTGACAGCTCCATTTCACAGCTTTCCAATGATGGAAATGTGACGCCGAGGAAAACCAGCATCAATCATCCGCAGGGCCTTCGATAAAAACTTCACATTTCTGAGTCCTTTTGTCCCTCTATATCCGCATAAATTGTACAAGGAAATTTATCCACACAGAATGAAATTTCTGTCTTGTTATCACAATGGGTCTATGATAAAACTCATGGGGTCATTTAAGTTGTAAAATAAACATTTAGTCTTCAGTGATTTAATTTTGAAGGGCAATTTTAGATATCAAGTGCATTGCAAAATGTCGATATTATTTTAATATCTCATATGATTACTAATCAAACAAAAAGTTTTGGTTTTGAATGTTGATCTTAAAAAAGTACATGTAAATAAATATTTAAAATGTCATATTTGATACATCATGCTCTTATGTCTCATATAGTATGACATAGAAGAAACTAAGCAAAATATGCAATTTAGTGCAGTTGCTTATATTTATATGGCCAAAAAGTAAGATGAAATTCTGATTGCTTATAATAATTTATAACTGCATAAAATGCATATAAATATTAGTTGTCACTGTATATTTCCCAGTGATGTCTTAGTGAGATATTTAAACTTTTTATGATCAGAGCTCTGTGAATAATCAAGTAATCCTATTTATATACAGTATATAAAGCCTGTAAAAGTTTGAGTAAAAGTATCAATTATTATTATTTTTTTTCAAGGTTAGTTTAATCAAGGTTAATTTAATTTTAAGGTTATTAACATTTTTTACACAATAATACACAATAATTAGCATTCATATTGTTTGTATAACCCTGAAAATGTTCAAGAGTAAATCATTGGAATAAAAAAATACAAAATCATACCAAAATATCTAACCATTATTTCTTTTAAGTAGTGTGAGGACCATCCAGAAAGGTTATACCTTCAGCAAAATGCCAGCATGCATGAAAGCGGCCTCTTTTGTAGCCCCGGTAACATTTTCGGCACCAGACCCTTTGGCCATTATAAGCTGGCAGTTTGCCTTTGAAAGTGTACGTTACAATGCCGGCTCTGAAAAGCATCCCTGCAGACATAGCCTTTTCCCTGCACACACTGCCAAGCCCTTAGTCGCCCTGACTGTTAGGTTGTCATACATGCTGAGTGACAGCATGAGACTAAAAGTAATTCTTAGTTCAGTTTAGTTCATTATGAGGACTGGCATTTTCTAATAACGTGCACTGATAAATCATTTATTTGTGGGTAAGGGGGGGCGAGGCCTAAAGTTCACCGGAGGATTCGCTATCGGCACTAAATGAGCTGCGAACGAACGAAAATGCCATTGGTGAGATCTCAGTGATTTCTCCATTCACTGAGCAGCGAGCTAAGAGTCTGTAAAGTTTAATTGGACTAAGAGAGAATCCAACAGGAATACATAGATTAATGTCTAGGTTTAAGTAATGACTTATTATTCTAATGTGGATAATTAATTGTAAACGACATTTCCTCACAAAGGGGTCCTTGAAGGCACTGTAAACAATTACTGGGCCCTTAGAACAGTTTGGCTTAGAAGGTGTTTGCGCTTGATAGGCTTTGCATTTGAATTATTCATTACAAATAACAAACGCAAATAGAATTACAGCACGATGACACTGGATTATGTATTTAAAATGCAGAATCGCACTTCCTTTATGCAAAACGCCTTATCAGTTCTGTTAAGCTACAAACTGAGAATCCCAAAGAAAGTTCTACAGAATGTAACCTGACAATGACGAATAAAGCAGAAAATAACACAAACACAATGTTAAGAAAATTGTATGATTTTTCTTTTTTTTAATTTTAGCCTTTTTATTTTTTATAAGACAGTCAAAACAGAACAGTAATATATGGGGAGAGGGAATTGAATGTCAAGCATCAAGGACTGATTTATTATTGTTATTATTATTACATTTGACCATCAGAAAGCACCAAAACCTTTCATTTTGAATATATATATATAAAAAGTAATACCTCTGTGGTACATATTTTGTTATATTAATGTACAATGATATCAAAAATCTCCCAAAAAACATTGAACTCAATCAACCACTCCATCCTCTAGACATCAACATCTGCATTCGCTGGTCACACTTTATTTTAAGGTCCAATTCTCGCTATTAACAAACCTTTATGACTTTTGCCTCCTAATAATAAACTCCTAATTTGCTGCTTATTAATACTTAGTAAACTAGTTGTTAAATTTAGGTATTGGGTAGGATTAGGGATGTAGAATATGGTCATGCAGAATATGGGCTTTATAAGTACTAATAAACAGCTAATATGCTATTAATATGCATGCTAATAAGCAACTAGTTAATAGTGAGAATTGGTCCCTATACTAAAGTGTTACCAATTCGCCTATATAATATCTAAGCAATCTGTTATATTTTTCTATTTAATTCTAGAGATACAGCATTCATATAGCCTCATATATATGCTGTTAACTAAAAACAAACCCAAAGTTATGGCAGCTGTTTCTGCGTAAGAAAAAACAGAGAGCGTTTTTTACATGATCTCTTCATGTGTAAGCGAGCAGCATGGCATGGCGAAGCACATCTTAAGCATGTACGGAAAAAAGCCTCCTCAGTCCATCATTTAGAGCCAGTGCGCTGCGCTGACTGAATGTTAGAGTGCTTTTCTGCCTTCCGGCTGTGGGTCTGTACCGGCCACTTTCATTTCTCACTGTGCTATCCTTGACCGTATGTGAACAGAACAGATATTAAAAGCGTCCTCCAAACAATGGCATGTACAGACTCTCAAATCGCTCTCCTCCCTCGCAACCCCTGGCCCCACACCCTCTGCCGCCCCGTACAACTATTACGAGAATATACTGCTCCCAGGGGCCGAATCTCAGCGCTATTTCTACACCAATCACAGCGAAATTGCCACTATATCAGTTATGGCGCAGAGCTCAATACTTGTGGAGAGCTCATTTAACAGCAGAGCGGAGTTGGGAGTAAAAATAGCTATCCTCCTGGTACCATCTCCTCTCTGGAGGACGCATTCTGCTCTCTATTCTGAAAAGAAAGTGGTTTGACTGGTTAAATTGGTCGTAATTATGATTATTAATGATTCCAACAGCAAAAGAGGTGTTTCAAGGGAGCGACGGTGCATGTTCTGCCTTTGTGTGATAGAAAGGCACCTTCAGGTGGCGCTATGTCGGGAAGCCGTCTGGGTGGGGGTGGGCTGATTATGCCAACATACTTACTTCCCAAGGGCAAAGCACTCCAGCCTCACTGTGACGCCTTTGGCTGCCAGCACCGTCTGGGGAAAATGCGCTTCAATTTTGGGCTCGTACTCCCCCATCACCCCTAAAAAAATAAGACATGCACAAAGGTAAGTGTACATATAGTTTTCACCATTTATTATGGGATGACTCTAAAAGGAAGTTCAGCATGTGCTAATTCACATCCTTATGCTATACGCATTACAAAAAGAATGCATTTTTCCGTCAATGGAAAAAAATACAATTTACAATATTACAATGCAATTTAGCTTGTACATATTTTGTTTACTAAGAATACCAGTAATTGCAATACGTTTCACATAAAATATTATTCATTTAGCTGGTTTATGAGGTTGCAGGGTACATTTCCTACTATTCTCTGTGGCAGCGTAATGTTTTGAATACCACAGGCACCTGTCACATGCTATTTGTGTTTGCATGTAAACATTAGCATCCAGTTAAAATCATTACCTTAAAATGCAATTACTTAACAGCTAATTTAAGCAGTGTTAGCCATCTTGCTAACTAGTGTCAGACTTTTACTGCATCTGAATAAGTGCCTACTCCCAAATTGTATAGTATGTAGAAAATGGTGGGCCAAAGGAGTAATATCCCTGAATACCAACCAAGGCTCGGTGGAAAAAAAGAAAAGAAGTGAATATGACGACATTTCTACAAAATGATTCTATTGTGCATTTTACAACACTTATAAAGTGAAATGCCCAGTGAGTGGTCCTAAAAGCGTGTTCAGTTTTATCCAAAAAAGATAAACATGAATCTTGCAACGTTGGTCGTACATTGCTTGTTGTATGTATTGCATCAGTTTGAAAATGAAATGTCCAGTTAGTGGCACTAAAATGTTAACGCTATGATTATCAGTCTTATTAATAGTATTTTAAAATAATGAACCACCTAACCTTACTTGACCATAAACCCAAAGCAAACATAAGATAACAGTGCATTTGCTATGCCATTTTACCTTGTTTATTTAAACTTGTACCTGAGCGCTTCGCATTGCAAATGTTGCTATACCAGGTGAGCTACAGAGCATGTTTTGCATTTATTACACACTATTGTTCCTATTTAATACTGTAAAGCTGCTTTGACACAATCTGTAGTTAAAAGTGCTATATAAATACAGGTGACTTGACTTGACTACATCCAAAAAAGAATAACAAATACATACGATAAATATGAATACATATGAATCTGGCTTTATGATACAAGTTAAAAAATGTATTAGTTTATCATACTTTATGGTGTTTTGAGGTCATAACAGTATTGTGCAAGGTACCACATAAAATTAAGCCTTTATTATTCAATAATTTGCCCTGTAATACATTTCTGTGAAAGGGAAATACAAACAAATAAAATAATAATATAAAAAAATGTTTGTGATTTACTACCACTACTGTTCATTTAAGCTGGAAACTGCAGTGAATTGTATGTATAGATATATTTTTGGAGTTTTGCAAAAAAAAAAATTTAGTACTGCAACTGTTTCAAATCTTTCAGTATCAAAATGTAATGAAAAATCTATATTTTTGACAACACTACCAGACACATACTCAGGTGGTTTAGTAAAGCTCTTATGAAGTCTCCCCCGTTTATGCCTGGAACTGACTTGCATTTTATATCCGGCAGAGATCTGAACGCACTTTATCTGTCCCTTAGCACCTTCAAATGTGGTTGTAGTGCTCTGATCAGTGTGTCTTGAGTGCATTTACACCCGGCTTTTAATGCAATCTGATTGTGATCTGCTTGCTGAAGTGAACAGGCATGTATAAAGGCCTTCGAGTGATTTAATTCTGAGATACGTTAGCTCTGCTACACCCGACTCTAAGGGGCAGCACACCTCTAAATATCTCCGTTTGTAGGTGTTGGATCAGAACATTACTCACACCTTTTGCCCCACTCACATGAAATTCCACCTTGGCATCTTCCCGGTTGCTTTTTGGAAGCCTGTACTCATTAATTAAAGCTTGTGACAGGAAGCTTGTGCTTCCTGTGCACTGTGCTCGTGTTTTATTTTTTCTTCTGGTCTGTGTAGGTGCTTTGTAGGTTTAGTAGAGGCCTGAGGTGCTCTTATATGATGGATTACATCGCTCATGAGGACTCTATCACCTGAAATATCCAGAGCAGCTGCTCTAGAACATTGACCTGACAATCAATAGTGCAACAACCCAAGACATTTTATAAATGCGACAACTGCACATATAGCAGCCCCAAAAGGTTCATGGACACTTTAGCCACACTTAAATAGACGTCTTTGCATAATATGATATGATATTATATGATATAAATTCCTTGTATAATATGTTTTGTCCCACAATACAGAACTACAGAGCTTTGATCATAAACTAAGCATTTAAATATCATCTTACTAGGACATATTATTGGGAAACATAGATCAACAACAACTGATATTTATTTATGTATGTAGTCTGCTATACAGTTACAAAGATCTCATTGATTTACAATACAAGCTATCAGAATTTCATTTTTAAATTTGGCCATATAAAATATCAGCAAATGCACCAAATTGCATATGTTTGCTTTTGAATAATAGTTTTTTCCCTCCCCGATGAGCTCCACATTCTCCTGTATCATACTATACCTGATTTATCAAATTATACTCAATAAAAAAAAAATATATATATATATAATAAATAAATACATTTTCTTTCATGTTTTGTTTAAAGGTTCAGTAAACGGTCTTACAAAAAAATAGGTTAGCCTATTTGTCCAATCTCATTCGTCAAGCTTTACAGGTTAAAGATGGGTATGATTCTTAATGCATTGATGAATTCCATCTACTGTACAAGAGTAAACAATCCTGGATTTACAATTTAGCACAACAAAGCTTGAGGGATCACAGCAAACAGGTGTCACGGTACGGCAAACCCAGTAGATGCCAGTGACAAAGGCAGGGAATTCTCCACAGTAGCTCGCATGACAAGCTGCTAAACTAAATTATTTTGCAAGTACACTACAGAGGCCGCTGGGAAAACGGGGCGAGAGAATTTGTCCTCAAAACAGCACCACGCTGGAGTCTAATTGATGTGCAGAACTCCATGGAATGCAGAGGAATCTTGAATGGCTGCATTTCACTTCTGCAGTCGTAGCACAGATCCTTTGTTTATTCATGCGAATGTTGTGAGGGCCCATCTATATCCATTTGCTGAGAGATATGTCAGCTGGCATTGAGTAAGTCTGCAATTACGAAGGGAAACACTCCCATTCAGGGGCCTAATTATCATTATCAGTCTTATTAAATGGGAAACTGGTGTATGAATTTTACATGAGAAAGTATTTCTTTCCTTTTCACACTTTGAAAAATATAACAAATATTGCAATTGTGCCTTAATCTAGAACATATCTCAACCACCATTGGTGAAAGCCAAATATTACAGAAAGTGGGAAACATCCATTTTATGCTGTTTGACACTTTAAACAGCCCTCCAAAATCTTTCCACTGGCAATCTACTATATTTAAGCAATATACACACTCGTGCAATATCACTTTTATTCAATAGTCCAACATAAAAGTAAATAAATAAGGAAATCCAAACAGTGTGCTAAAGTCTTTTTTTCAGCCACAAATTCAGGATGTGCCATTTCTAGTTCAAGAGATGTGCCAAACTTCTGTTACTCATTTGAAAAGATCAATAGCACTAGAAATGATGTCCATTTCTGAGAAGTTATTGAAATAACAAGAAGGTGGCATGACTGTGTGATATGGCTTTTACACAGAATAACAATTGTATTTCCAAGCAAAGCTATGGTACAACACTTTAGACAGTCACAGTCAATTTTTTCAGTCCGAATCAGCATTTTTTAATGAATTTTCTGAATGAATGATCTAATGATTCATCAAAAGACAGTCACTTGTTTTATTCCTATATATATATATATGAGAAAAAGTGATCCAGTGACTTACTCATAAATACAGTTTCATACCTGAATGAATCAGCATATTTTCAATGAATCGATTGTATGAATGATCCAATGATCCACTTATATATTCACGTTTCCTTCCTGAATAAATTAGTGCTGCTGTATGAATCAGAATAAATTATTTGATGACTTACTCATGCAACACACTTGATTTATACCAAAATGAGTCAGAATTAAAAAAAAGCAAATTGATTGAAAGAATGATTCAATGACTCACTCATAAAGACAGTCACTGGGTTTGTTCCTGAATTAATCAATGTTAGTTACATACTTTGTTGTTACGAACCTAAATTAATCAGTGTTTTTGAATGAATTGGTCAAATGTATGATTTGAAGGATTCACTCATAAAGACAGTCACTTGGTGTCATCACCTGCAGAAAGAATCACTAAAATATCTCCACGACTGACAAAAAAATTAAGCATCAGCGATTTTACAAAGCTGCTTCTGAATGGTCATCAAAGATGATTTTTGCCCACAGACTGCTGTATGCATGGCATCTACTGAACCAGGCCAGAAGGGACTAACTGCTGAAACGAACCAGCCAAACTCTGACCCCTTGCCTACAGCTGTAATCGACAGCACATTTATAACCTATTTTATGATAGCAGTCCGTTTTTCCCCAAACAACTTTTCAATTTCAATCTCAATCCCCTTACTTGTTACACATTTATGATTCCAAAGCAATCCCATGTGCATAATGAATTCGCAATATTATATTGGTTTACGCTGCAATGCATTTTCTGTGTATCCTATTTAGTGTCTAGAAGGCCTGGAATTGATAGGACTGAATTCTGGACCAGCTGTGCCAAAACAAATACATGAACCCTTTTTGTGCTGCGATGCCAATTTAAAATCACAATTTAATCCATTTATTAACATGGAATGGGGTAGTTTTGTACTATACAATTTTCCTTTTCTTTTGTTGTGCTATGCAGAACAATCACCTGATGAAAGTCTGGGCATCCATCAGACGTTTAAAGCTTTTACATCCAACTGCTAATGAAAAACTCCATTATCCCAATGCTGGGCTTCACATCTATTTTCTAATGACTAAACCAAAGCAAAAGTGCAAATTGAAAGTAAACATAACTCCATGAGAAAATCTACATGGTGGTGCAAAAACTTT